TGATATGTGTGTGGTGTGTGTGTGTGTTTTCGGTTATGTGTGTTGTTCTATGTCTTTTGTGTGTGGTGTTTTTCTGGTGTGTGGTTGCAGTTTCCACTCCAGGGTTTTTCCTTGCTGATGGTGTATGAAGGGGTAGTTTCGGGTTATTCTAGGCTACACACCACACACACACACACACAGACCACACACACACAAACACACACACAACACAACACGCTGTCTCTCATACGCTAAAAAAAAAAATAAAAGTACAGTCACACCCACACTTTCACGCACCACACAGAGCCCTCTCTCTTTCTCTCTCTCCACATTTCACACTGGTACTCTCCGACCTCTCCGAGCTGGTTAGGCTGTGCTCTCTCTGTGCTCTCTTTAGAAGGGATTTTACAGTGTCCTGGTGGATTATCTGTCTATTAATAGCTTCCTTTCAAGGCCGTTCACATGCTCCTAAGCGGCAGAGCTGCAGGATCCGAAGGCCCCGGGCTCCGCAACAGAAGCCGCGCCCTGAATCGGGCAAGCCAGATAATTATGTAAATGAAGTACAAGCTACAGTACGGCTGGTAGGCCCAAAAACAAACACAACAAACACACACACCACACACCCACACACACACACACACACACACCGACTACAGCGAGTGTACACACAAAACAAACATGTGTTCGCTGCACTGCAATGACAGGGACTATATGGATGTGATAAAACCTACACAGGCCCGCAGGATGCTGAACTCTGACCTCTGTGTATCCTCAGTCTAGTTTTACTTTGCACCGTAAAAGTTTGCTTTACAGCTGCGCACGTGTACATTTCACATTTGTATGTACATGCATTACATGCGTTTGGATCTGGGATGCACCGTTCTGATCCGATTCTGTCTGCTGCTTCATTGAATTGTGAGTATTGTACGATGCAGCTCAACTTCCACAGCTCTGGATCTTTGCTTTACACACAGCTGCTGTCTTGTACTTGGCTTTTCTGTTTCAGTCTGAGGTTGAGTTAACCAACTGTTAGCTCACTCAGTTTCAGACTCATGGTACATTACGGCGGGTTCGTGGTCCAGTGCAGCTCCAGCTGTACGTATAAATCATGAAATACTGGGTTAGAACTGTTAAATTAATGATTCATTCATTCATTTGTGCTACAACATTTTGGCTAAGGGCTTAAAATTAAGATCTGCCAAGCGTTGTTTCCCAGGACCGGAGCCGCCACTTTGGCAAGTTTTCAAGAATTTGAATATTCATTCAAGGTATAAAAAGCTTTATATAGGATCTATTTGAGGAGGAATAATTGGCCTCAAAAGTATTATGTCCTCCCAAATTCTTCAATTTCCTGACAAAATTCCAAATGTCCCCTTTAATTATCCATTTGTCTTTTACTTTAATTATTATTCTTTATTGAACACCTTCAGTCTTGTAGCCTGAAGCCACCTTGTGTGTATATATGAGCAGCATGTGACAAATCAAACCTCTGCAGTCTCTTTATGTCAATATTTCATAATAGTGCAACTCAGGCTGAGGAGGAGCGATATTTTAAGGTCATGTCGCCCTACATATAACGCATATACATTTATAGAACGAATGCATTCTCACATACTCACATGTTCTGCAGTCTAATGTGGACATTTTTAGAGTCCTGCTTTTTGATCGGAGTTGTCCGTCGGATGAAGTCCAATAGTTAGGCTCTCTTTTTAATCTAATTCTTGAGAAAAATATCTTTCTATCTGCTTTATCTGTGCTGTTTGGTGCCGGGCAGGTAGTGTAGTACGTGTATTCGTGCTGTTCATTGCTAATATAATAAAAATATTGATTGCAGCAGCTTTAACTTCCTCTCCACATTCTGATATTTCACTGAATGTCTGATGCTCTTATCCAGGGCAACTTCAAAAGAATGAGCAGGAAAGACTCTGAATATCTTGCTCAAGGACATGTAGACTGTGCAGCCACCTTAATATTCTGGTCAGCAGTTTTTAGGTATTTGGAGCACTGAGTGATCGTATCACATGCGGGGCGAAGAGGAGTTGTTTCATCTCGTTGGCAGGTTAAGAGTGAGGTACTATCACCGCAGATTGTAGATTATTTTCCATCCTGGTTGCATATGATTTAACATTTTGCTCTGATAAATGACGAGGCATTGAGCTCTCGGTTCCTCCATCGCACCAAGTTTGTGGAACGGGGATTAAAGCCTGCAGAGTACAGGACTCCTGCCAGTCAATCAGGGTTTAGGTTTGTTTGTGACTGGCCCGGTTGGACTCAGCCTCAATAAGCTGAGCTGACACAGGAGGCCAGCAGGTCGTGAGTAACTAGTGGCATTTGGATCAAAACACGTTCAGAATAATCACTTTATATTCGCTTGATGAGATCAGCCGAGGGTTGTTTCCCAGGACAGGAAACTGCACTTTCTGTTTGAACGGTCAGAGCTTCAGGAAGAGAGGATTTCAGGAATTTAACTGATCAGCTGAGTTGAATTTGATGTAGAAAAAAGAGGTGCTGACTGGCCTGCGAGATCTTTAAACGGGAAAATATATATTTATAACCAGGATAAATTCATCAGTCGGCCTCAACTCTTTCTGTGAGGTTTCTAAGATTTCTTAATTTCTGACTCAAGTCACGCATTGAGTCACAAACAACCTGTTTTGTGACTTCATAAAGGTTAATTCTTTAATTCTTATCAAGTCGGTAAATCCCCCGAGGTGCTGTAATGAAAGACAGAAACTTTTGGCAAACAACCAGAATTCACCTCCGATCGGGCTCGTTGTAACCTGCTACATGTGAATGAATGAGAAGAGCACTAACGAGCATTAGCTTCTCCTCCTGGCTCGATGCCTTCCCGCTAAACCTCCAGGCCAAGAGCAGAAAGTTAAACATAGTTTAATCTCATTGCAGTAAACACACGTAGCCTTAAATGCCTTAAATGTAAATACACATATTACATGTTTACTCTGCCTTAACATGTAGAAATGATCCAGTGATTTTATTATATTATATTATATAGCATCTCACCACCATTAGCATTATATTTGACCCTGCACTGGTTGATAATGTATTTAATCGTACACTTCCCTGCTACACTGTAAAAAGACAACAATTAAACTAATAAATAATGATAAACAGCTGTCAGGCTGCGAATAACATTAGTTTTCATTATCGATTAATCTACCAACTATTTTCTCGATTAATCAATGAATCGTTTGATTTATGAAACGGTTAAGTCACAATTGTTCGCAGTCGTAACTTCCTACAGGCCGAGGTAATGTCTATAAATGAATTAGTCTGCTCATTACTGTGTTGAATTATGTTACGAAAGGGTGGCAAAGTCATCGCACTCAAAGTTTCTCACTCATTTGTAAACAGTTTGTGACTCAACGTGAAGCGCAGCAGAATTCAAAATGACAAACGAGCACTTTGAAGTGTAATTTTCGGAGCACGCTCACACTTCAGACGCACACATATACACAGAGTGCGTCTGGTGTGCTGCCTCCAGAGCAGCTTATCTCTTACATAATAAAGGCCCAGTCCTGTTGGGATGGGAACATCAGGTCTGGCAATCAGGGAAGAGCGCCGTGCGTCTCCCTGCAGGTCTGAACTCTGAGCGACCCTCCGCCATGTCTGTCGCTTTGGGATCAGAATGGAGACACCTGCCGACTTGTTCCTCCCGTACATCCATACGGTTTGTGACAGCTCAGCCTGCGTCGCTGCCGTCAGACACACTCACTGCCGGATAATGAGGCATCCTCATCCTCCTCACACAGAGGGGCACAGACATTATTAATGAGTAAAAAGTGAATGCAGAGCAGGAACTGACTCTTTCACCTGCTGCATGCATCCTTTGTTTTCACAGAAAAAGATTTTTGTTGTGATCTATACGTAAACAGCTTATGGACAAACTCATCCTGCTTAAATCACATTTTTGGAAGTTGTATTCTTTATCTATTGTGGCTATCCCCGCTAAAGCTAAACACCCAGTTCATTGTCTATTTATACCAAACAGACAGACCTTGCTGCTGCTGCTGCTGCAAATAACTTATATATAACTTCATGGGTGTCAGCAAACTGTTATTAGCAACAGAATAATAAATCCAATGTGTAAATGTCAAATTACTGCTTAATAATGAGAAACTACTGAATAATAAACTTTATACATGCATCCTGGGAAACGTGTTGTCTTGGACAGTTTCAACTGTTTTAACTTGTGCTGTGGCCAAATTAATGTTACGATTAGAGAAAAGCTGTAGTCAATAGACCTTTCTCACAGCAGCCATTTTGACATGAAGTAGGTGTAGGTAGGTGTGAGTGTGAATGTCTCTCTGTCAGCGCCGTTATGAACTCGCTGCCTCTCACCCAGTGTCAGCTGGGATCAGCTCCAGCCCTCGCAAGGTTTACTTACCAGCTTTTAGATGGCTTTGAGAACATCTCATAGTCTACAGTCTACAGTTGTCCATACATAGTTTATGGTATAATAGGTGGTTGTATACCTGTTATCATATGACCAAAGTTCTGTACGTGAGTCAGGTGATGACAACAAAGTAATCAACTCACAGATGAATGTACAAAAAGCTAGTAAGTTGACCTTTAAGTTAAGGTATAAAGTTACAGTATAAATTTGTTTTCTATCAAACGGACACAAAGACAAGACGACATGAACGCAAGAGCAGATTCAAACAACCGATCATGCATCAAAATGGAGATATTGTAATCAATAAACCAATAAATGTCTATTTAAATAAACAAATAAAGTCTCAGGAGGAAGAAGGACTCCTCAGCAGGAATCAAACCAGTTACAGAGCGTTTCTCAGACCACTGTCTCACCACAACGCCCCGTGTCTCAGTTTTTACTTCCACTGTCTTTATTCCAAGTCTTTGATTTTGTGGCTCTCTGACTTCTGTGGGAGTCAGAAACGTCTGCGTGGTTCACATTTACATCTGCACCAATTTAACTGACTCTTCATCTTCCTCTCCTCTCTTCTCTCTCTCCTCTGTGTGTGTTTGGTTCGTACGTCCAGACGTGCCAGCGCCGGAGCAGCCGGAGCTGTTCCTGAAGAAGCTGCAGCAGTGCTGTACTGTCTTTGACTTCATGGACACGCTGTCGGACCTCAAGATGAAGGAGTACAAGCGCTCCACGCTCAACGAGCTGGTGGACTACGTGACCGTCAGCCGGGGCTACCTGACAGAGCAGGCCTACCCCGAGGTCGTCAAAATGGTGAGGAGGGACGGCCGCACGCATTCAACATCCTCAAGTCCTGCTTCAGACCATAAAAACCAAACTACTTTCCTTGTGACCTCTCAAAGTCTTGAGTTACAAGCTTAGATCTTTAATGTCTTATTTAAATACATATTTTTAAATCTAAAGAGGTAAATCTTTCCAATAGTAACATAACTAACATTACACAGCATTACCTTAATAACCATGTACAGTCAGACAGATTAGAAACACACACTACTTAATAGTTTTGGAAGAGACGCTTATGTTCAGCAGAAATATTACATTACTTTGGTTTTAACAAACAAACAAGTAGTAAATTCAGTTGTTCTGTGTAACGAGCAACAGTGGAGCTGCCCTTCAGTGCCTGTATATATTCAGTAAGTCACTCCTGCAGATCTGTGAACTCACCACACTCAGGTCCTGCCCCCCCCCCCCCC